CTACTGAAGCCTCCAGCTGCTTCTCTTCTCGTTGCTGCGGGAGAGAAAAAGGTTCAGTTCAATATATCCACTACACACTTAACACGCCAAACCATCATAACAACTCTGTGGAATCACAGGTTATCACAACAGTGTCACAGTTTTAACTTTACAACAACGTTATATTCTAACGTACAATAATGCCTCGTTGTTATGCTAACCTAGGTTAGCTAAACGCTAACTAAAATGATTTCATTTAGGGAGTTAGTCACTGTTAGTTTTACAGACAAATAAACCAGGAATATCATTCACCACTAAAACGCTAAACAACAACATAAAGGTATCAGTTCATCATTTAACTACAACATTATGGCGTAACATTACCTGCATTATTGAGCCACAAGCTAGCAATGATGTCTTCAGAATCAGTGACAAATACTTCCGGTTCACCGTTGTCACAATAAAGGCCCGTGTTTTTCTGGTGAAGAACCAGTACTCTTAAGAGAACACAGTAAACCTCATTTTTGAGCTTTTGGTCACGTCTAACATGCCAGTTCTCCTTTGTAACATTGTAGATAGGTAAAGACAAATAAAAAGGAAAAGCATGCCATTGGTACGGCCACACCTCCGCACAACCCAGCGGAAAGGAGTTTGTGTGTTTGCTGCCAAAGAACCCGCTTCATCCTTGCGGTTTGCTCTACGGTGGCCTCAGCTGTGCCCTAAAGCCCGCCCCCGGTCAGACAGACACACAGATCTGAAAATGGACGCACTGCAGCATTTAGATTACACCACACATTGTCAAAGCTTTTAGCGATTAGCAAAAGCAGCACTAGGAAAATCACCACAACAGAGCATACCCAGGTGATTTAAAACACGGAACAGAAAAACACTACAACCTACCCCTTTAGCTGCTGTAGAGGACTAGACGCTTCCCAGGCCACTGTCACTGATTAGACGGGACCGCCTCCTATGTACGGCCCCTTTTTTATGGGAACTTTATTTGAGTGTACATGCAAACATATATAAGGAATAATAAAGAGTATCAATTAATTTTGCGATTTTAACTATAATGTTAAGTTTATACAACTAATCAAAAGGGCAATAAAAGGAATGAACACCCAAATAAAATAAAATACAAAAAGTTAAAGCCAGAGGGTGATAGGCACATCATTAAATAAAAACATTAAAAGACCTGCATGTGTTACGTATTTTGATTGCTTTCTTATTCATACTGTCCAAAACAGTAGAGATATAACTCTTAATTTCATTGACTAGGGCAGGAAAGACGGTTTGCAGTTATAAATTTACACTTTATGTGAAAATTCACTGAATGTGAAATTTTGCCATAATCAGAATGAAACCAGTACTCTTAAGAGAACATAGGTTGCGTCCGAAACCGCATACTGTGACAGTACGTACTGAAAAAGATGAAGTACCTACTTACTGACCGTTAAAACAGTAGGTACTGTATAGTATTGTGACAGCCGCTAGCTAGGTTGAGAGGAGCTGGCTATTGACAATTCCAGAATAGGTGAACAAGTCTCAGTGTCCTTCATACTAATATTGAGTAATGACAAATCCAAGTGTACTGTGTCCACTGCTGACCTGGTGAAGACCCCAGAGGCCAGTCCAAAGGTGGTGTTGTTAGCCCTCTGGATCACTTCTTCCTCTGTGTCAAAAGGCAAGACAGACATGACTGGGCCAAAGATCTCTTCCTTCACACAGGTCATGTCATCTTTGCAGTTATCTGTACAGGGAGAGAGAGTGCTGATGTAAAGTATGGTGCATACTGGGAATGAACACAAAAAACAGACCGGGTAATACTGCATCTTACTAACAATGGACATTTATTATATTTGCAAATCAAGAACACATTGGAGAATGTACAAATAGGCATACCAAGTACACAGGGTGACATGAAGTAGCCTCCTTTTAGTTTAGGGTCACTGGGGACAAAAGGTTCTCCCCCACACAGTACTCTAGCACCCTGGAGAAGCAGAGGTTAATAACTGAGAACCAAATAAAGAAAAGAAAATAGTAAATTACTTGCTTTGTGGTTAAATGAACGCAAGTGCCTCACTACAACCACTCTCCTCTCCCACTAGGATCAGAGGCCCGGTTTATGGCCTACTATTATCTTTTATAGTTAGGCCTTTGTAACTCCACTACTTTGACCAGCAGCAATGTTTTACTTTGCTCCAATTAAAGAGCAATAAAACATCATGATCATCTGGTTTTGTTATTACTTTATTAGACATGTTTTGCAAGCCATGTCATTTTATTGTAGCCCTCCTGATGATTGAGATCTGTCCATAGGGCCTGCTGTAAAAAAGTAACTGTCACTGCATTAATCTAACAAAGGACCACTGACACACCTCCTTCTTGGCCTGACTGACATATCCCAGCACTTTCTCCAGCTGTGGCTTGCTGATCAGTGCTCCCATGCGGGTGCTCTCCAACAGGGGGTCACCAATAGGGATGGCCTTGGTTCTCCTCACCACTTCTTCCAGGAACTTGGGCATGATATCTCTTTGCACAAACACTCTGGTTCCATTGCAGCAAACCTATATTTCAGAGTGAAATGTGAACCAGTAAGAACTAGCCAAGAATCCAATGGATTAGTTCAAGACTGACATTCAATACAACAGGCTCACCTGTCCCTGTGTGAGGAAGTTTGCCATGAGTGCTCCCCTCACAGCATTCTCCAGCTCACAGTCTTTGAAAATAATGAGGGGAGATTTACCTCCAAGCTCCAGAGTTACCTGTTTCACACCCTTCGCAGCCATCTCCATGATCTGAGTGCAAGGAGGACACACAGTATATACCTAAGGACATCTGAAGCCCTGCAGAGCAATTCAAGTATTCCACATGTTTAAGGTATAATGACAAAGCACAGGTATATCTAATATTATTTTGTATTCTGTGCTTTCCATTCATTTATCACATATTATTGCACCATCTTTACATCTGTTATCAGTCACACCGTACCTGCGATCAAAGATGTCACTGTTAAATGTTAAACTTTCCAAACCAAGCTTCACTCACATTTGCATTACCACACAAAGATAACAAACTCTGACAAAATCAAACGCTGATCCAATATTTACAGTGATCCAATAACTGCCTCATGTCTCAGTGAAGTGACTTTAAAACAACTCAAATCTAAGACTAGAACATGCTTTTCAGAAATAATCAGTGGTAATGCAATCTGAAAATCATTTGAGGTAAATGGACAAGACCAACTGTAAGGTGCTTTAAAAGGAAGGGGTGACTCAGTTAACTTCAGTTTGAATGTTTACTACTAGGATGCGACAATTCCAGAATAGGTAAACAACAGTCTCAGTGTCCTTCATACTAATATTGAGCCTGTGTTCTGTGTACGTGTTTTTTCTTAACCATGTGACTTCACCACTAGGCCCACAGTGGGGGAAATAAAAAAGAAAGCACCTCTTTTTTCATTTAACCAACAGGAAACAGAAATGCCTTAATTTTTATTTTCAGTGTATATTTAAAACGCTTTGATTTTTATGTGTAGCTGGGATTTCCACTAACATTGAGCCACCTGTCAAAATAAGAATTTGCCATATTTTATCTCTGATATCAGGACTAAAATAGCATATATCATATTTAATCCTCTATTTAATCCACATAACTGGGTTGGGTGGAGGGGCTAAGAGTTTTATAAATAAATAAGGAATATTCTTTAAGGGGGTCCATCAAGGTTATTATTAAAAAACCTTTGCAGAACCTTCAGGGAATGTTCCTCACATTGGTGAAATTGACAGAATTTCACAGTGACAGTGGTTGGATAATTGAGCAGCCTGGCTTTCTGATGAAGTTTCCAATCCAGTTGGGCCACTGTAGCCTCACCTTAGCTGACACAACATAAATGACAGGCTGGGTCATGCTGCCAAGTATCTGCTCTTTGCTTGGGTGAGGATAGGATTCAAGAACAGCTTTAAAGTATCTTAGATCAGGTCAAAGATGGGGTACCTCCAGGGCTGGGTTGGACTACGTTGTAAAGTGAATTGCATGGTTGTTGGCACACAACTTTAAGTCAAATGAAACACAGTGCAAACAGCTAAAAAAAATAAAATAAATAAAAATCATAGCTTACAGTGGGGGCACAACCAGGTATGTTGTATTCTAAAAGAAAGAAGCCAGTGAGTGCTTTTGTCACTGTTGCTGCACTAGTAACAAACTGGACAGTCGGGACATGTGTTTAATAGAAGGTGAAGATGTCCAAATCACGGAAGCATCACAAGTCTGTTAACAGTACAGAGGAAATTCAACTTTCCACAGTGAGAGAGAAAACAGTAAAATAATGACAAACATATGAATCAATTCATCAGAAAATGAAGAACACTACTAAAATGTAATCATAAAACTTCATTCATATGTAAGAAATGAGGAAACAGTGACATAAAATTATACTGACAAATGGATCCGATGTTACAGTGCCAATTATTAATTAAAATCCCAGTACGATGCACAACATGCTGAACACAAGGCAGACATTTGTTTCCTTTACTAATTAACCTAATTAAAAACAACTTTTCTTCCTCTAATTTATAAGTGAGATTATGTTAAATTTAAATAAACAACAAATGAATGTGAGTTCAACCAGAAAATAGTAGTGATACAGTAGCTGGAACAGATAATGCATTTTCTCCAGCACAAGCAGTTCTCTCTGCGTGATCTGGGAGGTGTGGGATGAGGCAGCTGCGACTCCTCATAGTTGCAGTGCAGGAACATCACAGATTAACGTGACGATTAGGAAAACTTCGCTGCCTGGGGAGGAGGTCCCAGGAAGCCTCCGGCCTGTTTTGTTGCAGCTCTGGAGGGTGCGAGACCAAGCATCTTCTGAATGTTCTGAAGAAAGGCACAGCACAAAACCGTCTCAGAAAGGACAAAACAAGATATTTTCTGACCAGAGTTCATGTAATAAAGGTTTATAAGGCCTGAGCATCTTGTTGAGGCAAAGCAGGTAAAAACGCACATTTCACCCAAACCCACAAAGCAAATTTTCTGTTTTATATTTAAAGTATAAGGCTGTTGGCATTCTTTTTTTTGTTACTGCATCCAAATCCCACGTGAAGACCAACGCCAAATCGATCCCACTAACAAGTATTGTATGTTTATCCAAAGACTGATATATCTTATTCTCTGTGCCCTGAAGCTGCACTGCTGGCCAAAAATGATTAAAAACACACCAGTCTGCTGTCAAAAATACAACAATACCAAATATGTACATTCAACAGTTCAACCCTACTGTTTCCTAAACGGGACAGTGCCCAGCTGCTGCAACACTCAATTTACATTAGCTTAAATGAAAATAAAATAACCCATACTGTTAGGGTGATTTTTATTTTATGCAGTTAAGAATGGTTTTATTTTATAACACACATAAGTTTACATACTTATATGTCACAGAGATGCTTATATAGTTATGAATATCACTCTATGTGTTCACTTAACCACTGGTCAAATATTTGCTGTGTGAGTTACTGAAACACTAATGCAACATCATAAGTCTGGTGCACTTAGTGGTTTTCCAAGGACTAATCATCCCACAGGCTTTCATTAGATTTGTTGCCTTTTCCAAAAAGAGCCCACCGCTGATATTATGAGGCGCTGCCAGGCGAACATGCAGGCGGAGCTGCTCAGGAGCGAGGCCGTGAAGGAAGGCCTGGAGGCTCAGCTCTTACGTGAAGACCAACGCCAAATCGATCCCACTAACAAGTATTGTATGTTTATCCAAAGACTGATATATCTTATTCTCTGTGCCCTGAAGCTGCACTGCTGGCCAAAAATGATTAAAAACACACCAGTCTGCTGTCAAAAATACAACAATACCAAATATGTACATTCAACAGTTCAACCCTACTGTTTCCTAAACGGGACAGTGCCCAGCTGCTGCAACACTCAATTTACATTAGCTTAAATGAAAATAAAATAACCCATACTAAACTGACCAAAGAAACTAAATTAATAACTATATAATTGTTACCCATGTTTAAAGACTTGCATATTCAGTGGCAACCAGTGGATTTGGGGCTAAGTGGTACAAGTGCTGGTTTTGGGGCCATGGGATTTGTTGACAATATGAAAAACAGAATAATGATAAACTTTATCCCTGGAGATGCCAGAAATATTGTTGTCTTGTCCCCAAGCACAGAATTACTGTAATATAGTTGGTATTCTTATAGAGGTTTGATACAGTTATTGATTAATACAAGTGTCTTAATTACTGAGATTGCCAAAGTGTCCACTGGTGGGGGAAAGTATCATTATAAAAACTGCTTAATTGTTTGGTCTTCAAAATGCCAACAGAGCTGAAATCTATAGCCACAGCATTGGCCCGTGATGCCATTTATCTGAGAAAGCTTGGCCTGATGGTGGCACCAGAGGGAGCAACATGTTGTAACTCAAACCAGCTGCACAAAACTAGATGGTACATCTCGAGGGAGTCATCCGGATGTAATGTAATGTAATTTAACAACATAACTTTAAGCATGTAATGTTTACCATGTTTGCCAATTATCACACCCACAAGCCAGAAACTGTAGTGTTTTCTCAAAAAAAAAAAAAAAAA